CCCCCCCCCGCCCCTCTCCGCAGCCAGCCCCGGGGTCTGTGGGGCTGAGCCCGGCAGGGTCCCTGCTCCAGCCCTGGGGTATTGCCTGCCCTGCCCTCCGCCTGCAAGTTCAATAAACCTCCCGTGCTTAGATCCACGTGCAGCCTTTCCCGCGGCTGTGTCCGGACCCATCGCTACAAGGGGCCAGCTCCCCCCGTGTGCCTGGCGATCCCCGATTCCCCTGCAGGGGGCGCGGCCCAGCTGCCCCCAGGGGTCTCCCTGCCTCAAGGGGCCCCTGGGAACATCCCCCCCCCCCCCCCCAGCAGAGAGCCGGGCCGGGGTCCAAGCCTGGGCGCATTCTCTGCACCAAGCCCTGGGGGGAGCTTTCACTGAGCCCCGTCTCACCTGTTTCTTCTCCTGAACAGAATTCCCCATCCTCGACCCGGCCACGATCCCCCAGATGGAGCGAGGGGAAGAGCCCAGGGTCCCAGATCTCCAGGGCTCCGAGGAAAAGGAGATCTTGAGAGGCGCTGGGGCAGGTGAGGAATGAGTGACACCAGCTTGGAGACCATCCAGGAACAAAGGGAAAAGCTGGGAGCCCCCCAGGTCTGTCTCCGCTCGTGTGGCAGCACGTACACGCCTTGCTCAGGTTCGGTGTCCCACTGCGCCAGGTGCTGCACAAACAGAGACCTTGCATCTGACCCGAAGAACTTTCACTCTTAAAAGGCAAAGGGTGCTGGGCCGGAAGGCGATGTAACATACAAGGGTTTGGCTTGACATAGCTCCCAGTATTGGGCCCTAGCAATGTATGGCCAGATCCACAGTTAATGTCAATCAGTGTTGCTCGTTGATTCACACCAGCCCCATTGACTCCGGTGGAGCTACGGGTGATTCGCACCGCTCGGGATCAGGCCCCATTGACTCCAGCGGAGTGATGCCCATTTACACAAGCATGGGATCTAGCTTGATCTGCACCTTAAATACCAGCTGGTACTCCCCGCTTCCTTCGTCCTTGTTAGAAAAAATTAAATGAGCATTGCAATATGAGTTTCAGATCTATCCTCATTATCCAAGGCTCTTGAGTTTTCGCTCCTACCCTTCGTATCATACAAATATAAATAATTCCCTAATCGTCTCGTCTCACTCAATATCATCCCTAGCAGGTCACTCCCAGCTCCCACCTGTCCTGCCTAACTCCTGGCAGGAGCCCTCCCTCCCTTCAGCCTTTCTCTGAGGGCTCAGCTGGGCCAATGGAGCAGAACCTGCCCCTCCTCTCCCTTCAGGGAAGGGTTTGTGGCAATTTGCTTCCTGCCCATCAGGTTTTCTGCTCTGTGACAAACCCCTTTGCCTCCCTTCCCTCGCCAGCACAGGGAACAAGCCCTGGCTGGATTCTCTCTCTCTCCCAGTAGGTGCCGGGACAACCAGTGAGAATGAGGAGGAAAATCCCCAGTACAAAGGGCCTGCAGAACCAGAGCAACACGGGACGTCCTGGAGCCCCGAGCATGGAGACGGTGGGGCAGGACGGCAGCAAGGAGACCTCCCGAGGGAGAGCTCTGCTGAGCGGGAAGGAGATCCCTGGCAGCTCCACGACTCCTCTGGGCATCAGGAGGGGAGACTGGCCATATGTGGGCAGTGTGGGGAGAGCTTCTCTCAATACAAAGACCTCGCTGAGCACCAGAGATCCCATAGAGGGGAGAGACCCCATCAATGCCCTGACTGCGGGAAGGGTTTCACCTGCAGCTCCCACCTCCTCCAGCACCAGCGCACCCACACTGGCGAGAGACCCTTCCAGTGCCCCGACTGCGGGAAGGGCTTTGGGGTCAGCTCTCACCTCGTTGTCCACCAGCGGGTCCACACGGGGGAGCGCCCCTACAAATGCCCCAACTGCGGGAAGAGCTTCAGCCAGAGCTCCCACCTGGCCAAGCACCAGCGCACCCACACCGGGGAGCGGCCCTACAGGTGTGCGGCCTGCGGGAAGAGCTTTGGGGACAGCTCCTACCTGATCCAGCACCAGCACACCCACACCGGGGAAAGCCCCGGCCTGGCCGGTGGGATGGGTGCGGAGGAGAGGCCTTACCCTTGTCCCCAGTGCGGGAAGAGCTTTGGCACCAAGCTGGCTCTGAGCCGGCACCAGAAGGTGCACAGCGAGGAGCGGCCCTATGAGTGCGCTGAATGCGGGAAGAGCTTCAAGCTGAGCCGGCTGCTTATCCAACACCAGCGGATCCACACCGGGGAGCGGCCCTACCGATGCCCCGACTGCGGGCAGAGCTTCGGCCGCAGCTCCCACCTCCGCTCGCACCAGCACATCCACACCGGCGAGAAACCCCACCCCTGCCCTGACTGCGGGAAGGGCTTCAGCCACGGCTTCCAGCTGGCTCAGCACCGGCGCGTCCACACGGGGGAGCGGCCCTACGGGTGCCCTGACTGCGGGCGCAGCTTCAGCCACCGCTCCACCCTCATCAAGCACCAGCGCACCCACACCGGGGAGCGGCCCTACCACTGCGCCCAGTGTGGCAAGGACTTCAACTGGAGCTCAGCGTTCATCAAGCATCGCCGGACCCACTCGGAGGAGCGGCCCTTCCGCTGCGCGGACTGCGGGAAGGGCTTCCGTGAGAGCTGCACCCTCATCCAGCACCAGAAGATCCACTCGGAAGAGAAACCCTACAAATGCCCCAACTGCTGCAAAAGCTTCAGCCTCAGCTCCTACCTCGCCAGGCACCAGAAAATGCACACGGCCTAGGGACGCCAGCGGGGGGGGGCCTGCCCTGCCCGCACAGGGGCATTGTGGGTACCTTTCTGAAGTGGGTATGCACCCCCTGCTTGCACAGAGATGTTCTCTTGTCTTCCTCTGGTGACTGGAGCGTGTATGAGAATTTAGGTGGAATTTGTGGCCCTGGAGGTTGTTAAGAACAGTTCCAGATCTCGGACAGGTCCCACCTCTAATTGATGGTCTAGGTATAGTTGATCCTGCCTCAATGCGGAGGGGAGGACTAGATGACTTCTCAAGGACCCTTCCAGCCCTACATTTCTATGACTCTGTGAGTCTGCTGCTAACCCCTAAACTGATTTCGTCCCATGGGAAATTCAAACCTTGAATTTCAGAGATTTTAAAAATTTGATTTTTTGTCCCGGTTTGTTGAAAGCTCAGAATTTTTCACAAAATATTATTATTGGGCAAAATATTTCATCGGATTTATTGCTTTGACTAATTATATCTTCTATGATACAAGAGGCAGTGTGCTCTAGGGCAGTGTTTCGCCACCAGGGCCTTTTCTTGTGGCCACAGCCTCCTGGGCTGTGATGGGGGCGGAGAGGCGCAAAGCAGTGGCCCCATTGCCAGGGCCGCCAGCAGTGGTTGGTCTCTGCCCCCCTCTGGAGTCACGCTGGAGGTGCAGGCAACTGGTGAATTCCCCACTTTCCCAGGGGTGGGGGCAGGCAGGCTTCAGCCATGGGGCTTCGGTCTCCATCCACGCCGTGGCAGGCTCTGGTTCAGACTCTGGCCCCAGGCTCACCATCCCCTACATCCCCCCGCTATTATCCCTGGGCCCTGCAGCCTCCCTGCCCCCTCCCCATCCAGGGCTTTATCTGTCCCAGGGCTTGCCTGGACTGAGTAAGTCTGCTGTGAAAAGTGATATTAACAAATATGCAAAGATCACTTTCACAGCAGAAGACTTACCAGCTAGCAAGTCTTAGGGGGGGGAAAAAGCGCAACCAAAAAAGCAAAAGAAACAACAAAAAAGACAAGAACATGCGAAGCACCTTATTTGTGTTTCTATTGTTTATGTCCAGTAAAGAATAGAGACAACTGTAAATTATTTTTATTACTGAGTCTGAAAAAACCCTACATAAATAAATTACAATGACTTGGACATATGTGCATATTTATTTGTTTTTCCTAAAGTAATTCAATATTTTAGGAAAAATTGTCAGCGCGGTCACCTGCAAGAGTTGGTGGTCGCACTCTGAGGTCCCCAAAAAATTTGTTGTGAGAACCCCTGGTCTAGTGGATCGCACACTGCACTGAGACATGGGTTCTATTCCCAGCTCTGCCACTGGCCTGCTGCGTGACCTTGGGGAAACTGAGGCACGAAAGGGTGACATGACATGCCCAGCTGTAAAATGGAGGTGATGATACTTGACCTTTGTAAAGCACTTTGAGATCTACTTGAGGAAAAGCACTGTATATAAGTGTGGCAGTATTATATTATAAATTTTAATATAGAGTAAAAGTCAAAATGATAAAGTAATATTCATAGATTCCAAGGCCGGAAGGACCATTGTCATCAGCCAACCTGACCTCCTGCAGAACACAGGTCATAGAACTTCCCCCCAAAAATTCCAAGAGCAGAGCTTTTTTGAAAAACATACAATCTTGATTTAAAAATTGCCAGTGATGGAGAATCCATCACTTCGTAAATTGTTCCAAAGGTTAATTATTCTCAATGTTAAAAACTGACACCTTATTTCCAGTCTGAATTTGTCTAGCTTCAACTTCCGGCCTTTGGAAGTTGTTATAGCTTCCAAAGGCCCGTCTTCTGGGACGGAAGAGCCCATTATCACATATTTGTTTCCCATGTAGGTACTTAGACTGTGATCAAGTCTATAACCTTCTCTTTGCTAAGCTAAATAGATAGTGACTGATCTCCTTGAGTCTATGAGGCAGGTTGTAGGGCTAACTGGTGTGATCATTGGAACCCCACAGGAGATGGAGTGGTAGAGCTGAAAGACGTGACTACCGAAGAACAGGGTCCCCAAGGGTAAGCCTGGGAATGAGTTATCCAGGCACTCAGAGACAGTGTTTACATGAAAGTCACTGGGCTAGAGCTCTACAAATCTGGGTTTGGTTCCTGGTTCTGCCCCAGCCTCTTCATGAGATCGTGGGCATCTTTGTCTCAATGTCCCTATCTGTCCCTTTCTCTGTTTAGTTTGTAATTTCTTCAGGCCAGGGGCTGTTTCTGACTTTGTGTCTTTGCAACACCCAGCACAACAGGGCCCCAAGATGCTACTGTAATACAAACAAAGAAATGGGAGTGTGAGACCTTACTATTTCTTTACTACCACAACAGAGTTGTGTGGCCCAGTTTGGGCAAGGGTGGGGTGCCTTAGACTTGGCTAATTTGGACACCTTGATCTTGGATACCTTTATGTGGTTGTCTCTTTGTTTTTCCTAACAAATCTTGTTTCAGTAAGATCCACATTGCCTTGGACTCTCAGGAATTTCCCAGAAGGATAAATGAGCCATCAACCTTTCGGGAGGGGTGGGTGAATGGGACCTAACTGCTTGTGAATTATGGTCTAAAGGGTTGAAGCTAAGTGTGTCACTCCCTGGGCTATGTCTAAGGGACAGGTCAGTTCGGCTAAACCCATCAAGATCCCCCCTGACCCTGCCCAGCCAGCTCAGGAATTATGGTCCAGAGGGTAGAAGTCTTTCTCCTATGGCTGTGTCACACCCAGCCAATGGCAGATACTGAATAACCAGGGCAAGTGGAAGGGGTGTAAGTTCACAGCAAGATTTCCTTTGCCTAGTGGGAGGTTCCTGTTATTTAACCCCATCTCTCCCAGCATTCTCTGTTTGCTGCTCTCCCTTGCCTGGGGTGAGGGGACTTCAGTCTGCAAGGGCTGGCATTGGTCCCATCTCACCACAGTGAGGATCTCGAAAAAGGATCTGAGGGAGGTGAATGCTTCTATCTCTAGAGTGGTGGTGGGGAAAGCCAGCTGGGGTCCCTCCCTCTCCTCAGCAGACCCCAAAGGACACAACCTCATCTAGGGTGACCAGAGGTCCTGATTTTATAGGGACAGTCCTGATATTTGGGATTTAATGTTATATAGGCACCTATTACCCCCCCACCCCCTGTCCTGATTTTTCATACTTGCTGTCTGGTCACCCTAACCCCATCCCAACTGCACCCAGTCTGCTCCCATGTACAACAGTCACGGAACTTTCCAAGCCTCAGTGTTCCATCTGCCCCCATGGCCATGGAACATTCCTGACCCCAAGATTCCATCTGTCACAGGTTCCAGGCCCCAATGCTCCACTTACCCTGGAACCTCTTGAGCCTCAAAGTTCCAACTGCCACAGACCCCTCCTAGCTGGAGCTGTGAGTGGGGGCACCGGGCACAGGGGAGATGCAGAGAAGAGTCTCAGGGGAGGGAGGGAAACAGCAGCAGAGACAGGAGATCCCTGCCTGGAGGAAGCGGCCGCAGGGACAAGGGGATGGGAACCTGAACCCCAGCTGGGACCAGAGAGATCCCCCCAGCCAGCCCTGGGAGCTGCATGGAGGGAGGCGGGGTCTGTGCAGCTGAGCCCAGAAGGGTTCTCCACCCCCCCCTCCCCCAGCAAGTTTCAGGGCAGCACAGGAGATCTGAGCAGCAGAGTGCCCCAGCCACATTTGGGAGTCATGGAGTGTGTGAACACAATAGGCTGCTGGGAACAGGAGGGGCTGCTCCCTGAGAGGCCAGACAGATGTTCCCAGGTGGGGGGCAGCCATCTCCTCCATAAGGCATCTCTGGCACCCAGCTCCTCTCTCCACAGAGCTTACCAAGCTGCTAGTTCTCCGGGGCCCAGAGCAGCCCGAGAAGCTCCCAGGCATCCGGCCTCACCCCATCTCAATCTAAAATGGGTGATGTGTGGGGGGGGAACCCATGATTGGTTGCATGTCACCCCAGCATTATCAGATTCCAATGGGCTTTTCAGTGTCAAACCTGGTCTTTGCAGGGTGGTTTCTCACTGTGTGATTTAAATAAACCAGGATTATTTTTTTAAAGGAAACTAGGAAAAACAATTCCATCATGTGCCACCCTAAGAATCTTATCACATAGGTGACTGGCGTGGCCTGAGCCCCTTTTGTTCTGTGGACCAGCCACTAGAGGGGGATGTGGCAACGCTTTTAGCCCACAAGACCCACAATTAGTTGGTCCGATGGCACCTTAAAGACTAACCGATTTATTTGGGCATAAGCTTTCGTGGGTAAAAAACCTCACTTCTAAGCTTATACCCAAATAAATCGGTTAGTCTTTAAGGTGCCACCGGACTCCTTGTTGTTTTTGTGGATACAGATTAACACGGCTACCCCCCGATAATTAATTGGTCGACAACCACTGAATGTTGGCTCCGCTTTCCTGAGTTCTCTCCCTAGCTCTGGGAGGGATGTGGGGCCTGGTGGGGTAGAGCAGGCTGGGCTGGGAGCCAGGACTCCTGGGTTCTATCTGCAGTGCTAGGAGGGGCGTGGAGTCTAGAGCAGTGGTTACAGATCTGATCATAGAGGGACACTGTTTTGGCCTGTTCCTTACAGAAGACAGTCCCCTCCGGGGCCTGGAGATGCTGGAGGCTCCCAGGCATTCTGCGGCCCTGCCCCAAGCTCCGGCCCCTATCCCCTGGTGAGGCTCTAGTTCCCAGCTGCCTGTGATCGCTGTGGCCCCTGGGGAATTAAACCCCCCCCCAATGCTTTGCACTCTCCTGGCTCTGGTCCTGGAGCCCCAGTTATAATGGCCTTGGATACATCAGAGAACGAGCCGAGCGGGGGTTCTTTGGGAGGGAGCATGGTTCCCTCATTAGGAACATCTTGTGGGGGGGGCAGAATTCCCAGTAGATTTTGTGGGGTGCTGCATTAAAGTTCAGCCAGGCCAATAATGGGTCCCCCAATATCTGCTCCTGCTGTGAGTTCTCTCTGGGACTGTGAGCCTGCAGGGTCCGGATCCCCTGCCCCACACAGCCCTAGCTGGGGTGTCTGTGTTATCGGCCCCAGGGAATCTGCACCAGTCAGCTGAGCTCCCCCCACGCTGGCTCCTTGGGGTCCCAGCTGAACCCCCAAACCAAGACTTGGTGCCAGGGCGGGCTTGGATGGGCACTGGGGCAGCTGGGCAGGGCCACCGTCCCGGCGAGACTGGGGGATCCAAAGATGGGGCAAGAGGAGCCAACGGATGGGCATGTGGGTATGCCCGGAATGGGGGACCAGGGGTTTCCCCTGAAGGTGTGGGGGAATGGTGCATCCTCCACAGGAGGGATCTATACCCCCCTCTCTCCAGCCCAGCCGCCCCCGGGGGACCCTGCATCCTTCCGCCCCGTGCAGAGCCTTTCCCGGCTCCTGGAGCCGCCAGGCCGGGCTACCCAAAGCGGATCTTCCCAGAGCGGAGCCGCCCGTGCCGTCAGCGGGGTTGCAATAGCGCAGGGACCTTCCTGTCCAACCCCCTGCCTGCACCCTGGGCTGGAGACTCAGGCAGCCCCTGCTGCCCACGGGGCCGGATCCCCTGTCTGCAATGAGACCCCCCCCTCCCCCAGGGAACCAACCAATAACCCGCCCCACCCCGTGCGCTGCAGCCGGGCGGTGAGTGGGGGCGCAGGGGAGGGAGGGAAACAGCAGCCGAGGCAGGAAATCGCTGCCTGGAGGAAGCGGCCGCAGGGCCGGGGGGGGGGTCGGTGCCGAAGGGGGGCTGGGACTGGAGGCCCCCCCCCCCAGCCAGCTCTAGGGCAGTAGTGGGGGAGGTGGGTCTGTGCAGCTGAGCCCAGCAGGCTCCCCCCCCAGCCCAGCCCAGCAGCGAGCCCCCGGGACACCACTGGAGGTTGAGGTTTGTACCATTTCCTTGGAGCAAAGTTACTGACCCCAGGCGGTGAAGGGGAGACGTGGGCTGAAGACAATTTGTGTGTGAGCCATTGAACCAAACTGTCAACCCCGGATCTGCTAGAAACCACTCCCTAGTCCCAGCCGCTCTGCACGTTTAGGCGGCTGTGTGCTGCACTGAGATGGCACGAAAAGGGTTAACACACTGTGTGGTTTCAAGGCCCTTAGGTGATCTTTGCAAAATGAGTTCTACTGCGAAGTGTGACTCATCTGTCAAAACACCTCTTCCCTGTGTCATAGGTCAGATCAGTAACACGTTAACAGCCCTGGAGTGGGGTTCCCCTACGGGGCAGGGGGCAGGAGGCCTTGCTGTGCCAGAACTTGGGTGGGGGGGTTTTTGGATGAGATTATAAATGTAGATGACAGAGGCACTAGTGTTGATGTAAGACAGACTTCTGGGTGGTATTTGCATTGGTACTGCATGACATGTTGAATAAAACCTAGAGCGATGTACAATGAACCTGACGCACATGAGAGGGACCAAAAGCTGGCTAAGTGATGGGTCTGAAAATGTAACTATAAAATCATCATCAAGTGGGTGTATTTCTAGCGGGTTTCCACCACAGGGATCGGTTCATGGCCCCCCCACTATTTAACATTTTTATCGATGGCCTGGAAGAAAACAGAAAATCGTCATTGATAAAGTTTGCAGACAACACACAAAATGGGAGGAGCGATGGATAATGAGGAGGACAAGTCACTGATGCGGAGCGAGCTGGATTGCTTGGTAGACTGGGTGGAAGCGAACAATCTGTGTTTTAATATGGCTAAATGGGGTGAAAGTAACATTCAACACTTACTGGAGTAGGAGGCGGGGCCTGGGGCGGAAGGGGCGGGGCTGGGGGATCAGCATCCCCCAGCCAGCCCATCCACGCTGCCTGGCCCGCGCCGCCTGGGGCAATTTAGATCGCCGGCCCCGGGGCAGCTGCTCCTTTTGCCCTCAAAGTAGGGTCCTTTGCCTCAGCAGCGCTTTAATGTCGGCTGCATACGGGCCGGTACCAACAGCCACTTTTTACCAATACGCCGTACCTCGGCCCGTACCAGCTTACTTTCACCCCTGGCTAAATGTGAATGTATAGAAACAAAGAATGTAGATGATGCTTACAACTTTACCCTGGGAAGCAATGCCTCTGAAGACTTGGGGGTCATGGCAGATAATCAGCTGACCATGAGCTCCCCATGTGATGTGGTGGCCGAAAGGGATAAGACATCATTTAGTTGGTGTTGGTCCTGCTTTGAGCAGGGGGTTGGACTAGATGACCTCCTGAGGTCTCTTCCCACCCTAATCTTCTATGATTCTATGCATAAGCGGATGCATACGCAGCGGTATCTTGAGTAGGAGTAGGGTGGTTATTTTACTTCTATATTTGGCCGGCGAATGGAGCACTGTGTGTTCCATTCTTGTGTCCACAATTCAAGAAGGATGTTGATACATTGGAGAGAGGGTTCAGAAAAGAGCCACAAGAATGATTAAAGGATTAGAAAACAGGCTTTATGGTGATAGCTTCAAGGAGCTCAGTCTGTTTAGTTTAACAAAGAGAAGGTTAAGGGGGTGACTTGATTACAATCGTTAAGCACCTGCAGGGGGAACAAATATTTGATAATGGGTTTTTCAATGGAGCGGACAACTATATAAGACAATCCCATGACTGCAAGTTGAAGCTAGACAAATTCAGACTGGAAATAAGACGTCCGTTTTTACAGGGAGGGTAATTAACTGGACGATTTTACCAAGGGTCGTGGTGGATTCTCCATCACTGGCAATTTTAAAATCGATGGGATGTTTTTGTCTAAAAGATCCGCTCTAGGAATTATTTTAGGAAAGTTCTTTGGCCTGTGTTAAGCGGGAGTTCACAACAGATGATCCCAACAGCCTCTTTTGGCCTTGGAATCTATGAATTGTGCTGGGTGGAGCACAGATCCTGACTAAGATCTGGGCCCCCATTGTGCCCAGACCCAGTCTGAGATCAAGCCCCATTGTACCAGACACCACACAGACCCCAATCAAGATCAGGGTCCCGCATTGTGGCGGGGGCTGCGTAGACCCTGACCGAGATCAGGGCCCCCATTCCACTAAGGAGCTGCACAGACCCACAGCGAAAGACCGTCCCTGCTCTGAAGAGCTCACAGTCTAAATAGACAAAGACAGGATTATTATCCCCATTTTACAGATGGGGAAACTGAGGCCCACAGAGATGCAGTGACTCTCCCAGACAGTCTGTAGCAGAGTTCGGAATTGAACCCAGCTTTCCTGAGTCACAGCCTAGCGTCTGAGCCGCAAGCCTGGCCATTTAGATGAGCCCGAGGAAGTGGAACAACAACCAGTAAATGCTAGTTAGCCATCGATTTGCAGCTGGGGCCCTGTACTCAGAGCGTGCATCACTCCTGACTCCCATCCCTCCTGCCTGACCCCTGGCCAGAGCCCTCCCCTCCCCCAGCCTTTCTCTCAGGGCTCAGATAGGCCACTGCAGCAAAACCGGCTCCTCCTCTCCCCGCAGGGTAGGGTTTGGGTGGTTTCACTTCCTGCCCATGAGGTTTTCTGCTCGGGGACAAACTCCTTTGCCTCCCCCTCTCTCCCCAGCACAGGGAAGAAGCCCCAGCTGGATTCTCTCTCCCAGCAGGAAGGGTCTGCAGGAGCAGAGTGGCAGGGGAGGTCCCAGAGCCTCAAGTGGGGAGATGCCGGCAGGTGGCAGGGCAGGGCAGGATGGCAGCGGGGGGAAGAGAGGACTGGGCAGTGCTGGAAAAGGGCTGTGTCTGTGCAGCTGCAGGGGAGATCAGAGCTTGGATCTGAGTCATATTGTGTGTGGTTCATTCTCTCTCTCCCAGCAGGTGTTGGGGACTCCCACAGGCGTGAGAACGAGGAGGAGCTGGAACCCCCCAAATGTCCCTCTTGCCACCCGAGCTGGGGGAGCCGCTGACCATCTGCAGCCAGTGCGGGAAGAGCTACCGCCTGAGCACCCAGTTCCTGCGGCACCAGCAGACCCACGTCCGTGAAAAACCCTTCAAGTGCGACGAGTGCGGGAAGAGCTTCGTGGACAGCTCGGCCCTGCTCACGCACCGGCGTGTCCACACCGGGGAGCGGCCCTACCGCTGTGCTGACTGTGGCCGGAGCTTCAGCCGCAGCTCCAACCTGATCCGGCACCAGCGCACCCACCGGGGACTGCGGCCCCACCAGTGCCCCGACTGCGGGAAGAGCTTCGCCGAGGCCTCCTGCTTCCTGCAGCACCGGCACTCCCACGCAGGTGAGCGCCCCTACCTCTGCCCTGACTGCGGGAAGAGCTTCCGCCACCGCTCCGTCCTCCTGGCCCACCGCCGCACCCACCTGGGGGAGCGGCCCTACACCTGCTCCGATTGCGGGAGGAGCTTCCACCAGAGCTCCCAGCTCTCCGCCCACTGCCGGGCTCACCTGGGCGTCAGGCCCTTCCAGTGCCCTGACTGTGGGAAGAGCTTCTTGGACAGTTCCTCTCTGATCATCCACCAGCGCATCCACACCGGAGAGAAACCCTACAGGTGCCCCGAGTGCGGGCGTAGCTTCAGCCGCAGCTCCAACCTCCTCCGGCATCAGCGCCTCCATGCCAGGGAGCAGCCCTTCAAGTGCCCCCAGTGCGGGCGGAGCTTCCGGGATGGCTCGGGCCTGGCTCAGCACGAGGGGTCCCACCTGAAAGCTAAGACGTACCAGTGCACCCAGTGTGGGAAGGGTTTCAGCCAGAGCGCCACCCTCATTAGGCATCAGAGAATTCACACTGGGGAGCGGCCCTACACCTGCTCTGAGTGCGGGAAGAGCTTCAGCCAGAGCTCCACCCTCTTCCGACACCGGAGGATCCACACAGGCGAAAGGCCCTACAAGTGTCCCCAGTGTGGGAAAAGCTTCATCGAGAGCTCGGCCCTGATCCAGCATCAGAGAAGTCACACGTGACAGAGGCTACTAGGGGAGTGCATCCGTTGGAAGTCAACCATTGGGCAGTATCAAAGTGGTGCTGGTAGGAGCAGGTGCCTGGAATATCATGGATTAATTGGCGGGAGGAAACATCAACCATTGGCCAATGTCAATGTGGCATTGGCATGACAGCATGGCTGGAACATCGTAGATTAATTGGCTGGAGGAGAGCATCAACTATTGACCAATATCACCATGGTGTTATTGTGCATTTGTGTCTGGAATATCATAGATTCATCAGATGGATGAGAATGTTAACAACTGGCCAATGTCAACATGGCTTTGGTGTGAGAAGTGTGTCTGAATTATCATAAATTAATCAACCGGAGGAGGTCAACCATTGGCCAATGTCAACATGGTTTTGGTGTGAGAATGTGGCTGGATTATCGCAGATTAATCAACCTGAGGAAAAGATCAACCATTGGCCAATGTCAACATGGTTTTGATGTGAGAATGTGGCTGGATTATCGTAGATAAATCAACCCAAGGAGAAGATCAACCATTGGCCAATGTCAACGTGGTTTTGGTGTGAGAATGTGGCTGGACTGTCAGAGATAAATTGACTGGAATTTTCAAATGACCCTAATGGTGTCAAGTGACCAGGTTCAAAATCCCCCCTTGGAAATCCCAACCATAGATGTGGAAGGCCAGAAGGGACCATTACTATCACCCAGCCTGTCCTTGTGCCTACCACAATGATATACTGACGTTCAGGAGGTGCGGAATCTGCTCAGCGGTAATTGTACTTTCCTGTCTCTGTACGAATTGTCTTTTCCAAGGTCTGTTTGACATGGTATTTAACAAGGTGAAACAGCATTTCCCAAAACAAGACCCCATCATTTCTGCCGTGTAAATGGACCAAATGTCAGTGTTTAAAGTGACCTGCAGAGGGGGAGGAGGGGAAATTAAGGCTGGGTTTGGACCCCTTTTCTTTATCTTTTATGAAAAAAGTCTGGCCGTTTTATTTTTAAAAAAATTCTGCTTGGTTTGGGTGTGTCCCACAGTAAAGCCATGTCTACACACAACATTTGTAGCTCTTTCACTACACTGGTCTAGTTACAGTAGTGTGGGCTCAGTTATACTGTTAGGAAGGGACCTTTTTGTATTATTGCTGTTCATTTCTATTTACCATAGTGCCTAGGAATCCTTGTTGTGGACCAAAACCCCAAGGTGTGTGGTGCTGTACAAACATGGAACAAGACGTCAGTCCCTGCCCCAGAAACCGTACAATCTAAGTCCAAAACAAGAGACCACAGATGGATACAGACGGAATGATGGTGGAGTACAAGGAAACAATGGGACACTACTGGTCAGCATGACTGACTGTGGTCTCAGCACCAGCAGTCTCACCACTGTCAAGTTTTTGGTAGGACTGATGGCATAGGAGGGATTTGAAGGAGGAGGATGTTTAAGGGGGAACCCCTCCCCGGCGTGAGGGTTCAGCATGGAAGAAAGCACAAAGGGGCTGGTTCGAAAATGTTAATCCAATCTGGATTGAAAAATGGTCAGTGATGGAGAGTCCACCATGACTCTTGGAGAGTTCTTCTTATGTTTAATTATTATCCTCACAAAACTTTGCCCCTTATTTCCAGCCTGAATTTGTCTAGCTGCAACCTCCAGCCATTAGATCCTGTTATGCAATGTAACTGTATCAGTAAAAAAAAGTAAATCACACCCTGACCAACAAAGCTTTGCTGGTAAAAGACCTAGGGAGACACAGTAATACTGGTGAAAAAGGCTGTTGCTGGAATAGCTTATTCTGGCCGGGGAACTGATATAAGCCAAGCTAAAAGAACTCTTTTGGTGGTATAAGCTATGTCACCACTAGGGGGCTTGCTAATATAACTATCCTGCTATAACTGGGGTTCTCAAACTTTTTTTGCTGGGACAGGGACCCCCTTTGAAAATATTTCAGGCTGTGATGACCTCCCCAAAAAAAGTGATGCTCCCCCATACCATGCCATCCTTACTTCTGCGCTGCTGCTGGCAACAGCGCTGCCTCCAGAGCTGGGCGCCAGGCCTGCAGCCGCCACTCTCACGACCCCCCTACAATAGACTTGTGACCCCCTTTTGGGCCAGGACCCCCAGTTTGAGAAACTCTGTGCTATAAACTACATGTTTCCCAAACCCAAAGAAAAGCTCAGTGTAAGCTCGTCTCTCTTACCAACAGAAGTTGGTCCAATAAAAGGTATTACAGTACCTCCCCCACCTGGTCTCTGATATCCTGGGACCAGCCCGGCTACCACAACACTGCATAAGCTACACGGAAGGCTCTTTCTAGTGTAGACAAGGCCCAACTCTGTGTTAGATCGACAAGGCCCAGGGTTCAATCATTCCATTGGTCATAGGCACCAACTCCGTGGGTGCTCCGGGGCTGGAGCACCCACGGGGAAAAATTGGTGGGTGCTCTGCACCCACTGGCAGCTCCCCGCCCCCCCGCCCCAGCTTGCCTCCGCCTCCTCCCCTGAGCATGCTGCGTGCCCGCTTTTCCCCCCTAGCTCCCAGCGCTTGCGCCGCAAAACAGCTGTTTCACGTGACTGGGAGGTAGGGGGATCGCGGCGCGCTGGGGGAAGAGGTGGGGCTGGGGCGGGGATTTGGGGAAGGGGTCCAATAGGGACAGGGAAAGGGCGGGGTTGGGGCGGGGACTTTGGGGAAGGGGTTGGAATGGGGGCGGGGCAGGGAAGGGGAAAGGGTGGAGTCAGGGCAGCGGCGGGGCCAGGGGGCGCGAGCACCCACCGGTGCTAGGGAAAGTTGGCGCCTATGCCATTGGCCCTCTGTGGCAGTGCAGAGGGGGTAGGGAATTATTCCCTTGGGGTTGGGAAGGGGGTTACTGACCATCCCCCAAGGGAAATCCAGCAGCAGGTGCTGTTAGTGGGGCTGGCTGCACGGTTACAGACCTGCTCTGGGGAAGTGAGGGGGTTGGGAGATTCGTAACTTGAAGTCTACAGTAGATTCTTTGTGAGACGCCGCTGGGGGGGGGGGGGGGTTGAGGGCTGTTTATACATGGATCTCTCGCCTGGTGCTGAGATGCAGCAGCTTCTGGAGTGCAGTGTGGGGGTGTTTCACAGGAACACTGCACAGTGCTTTAGGAGGGAAGTGAAAGAGAATCCTGCAGTCGAAGCCACAACTGGGGGTGGAGGGTATGGGGGATAGCGGGAAATGAAACGCAATTACCCAACTGGGGTGCTGTTTTTATTGCTGTGTGTATCACAGTAGCAGCCGGAGGCTTTAACTGAGCTCAGAACCCCGTTGTGCTGTCCAGACACACATTGTCCCCCAGGAACTTAAAGGCTCTCAGCAGAGCACGGAGTGTTTTTCAGACGGGGAGACTAAGGCTCAGAGGCTCGGTGACCTGACCAAGGTTACCCAGGAGCTAATAGCGGAGCCAGGAAATGAACGCAGGTCTCCAGCACAGGCACCTGGCCCCCTCCTGGTGCTGCCAGCAGGCTGCGGGGTCACGCCCCGATCCTGGGGGGAAAGGTCTGGGCTCAATTTCTTCCATTCAGCCCATCACGGTGGGATCTCTTGGCGTCAACAGGCACAACCCCTACTCCCAAAGCAAGGGCAGCCCAGTACCACAGTTTACACGTAGCCCCCCTTTTCCAGTCGGGGTCCCCTGACATGACCCCCCCCCCCGAACCTGCTGCTCGGAAGACACCTGACCCAAACAAGGCAGGATTTTCTGACACTCCCCCGCCTCCCGCACCAGATGTTTCGAATTTTGTCACTGGAAACGAGGCCGAAGAGCGGAAGGAAATGCTCTCGCTCCGCAGATGCTTCTGCGCTCCTCTCCCCCTCCCCCGCAGGCCCGCTGCTGACTCCACCCCCGTGGGAAAAGCAGGTGATAGAAATCTGCACAATCATTTCCCCAAAACTCTGTTTCCAGCACCTCAAGCCGGCTGCTTCCCCCTCCACCCGGTTGCTGTCTCCCCAACGGGCTGGCGAGCCCGCCCGCCCGGATTTCTTCCTTTGCCATCATGCCCCACGCCATCTAACAACCCAGATCCCCGGGCATCCATCACGCTCCCGATCCTGACATGGCCGGGACCCCATGTGCCTTCCCTCTGCTGCTGCTGCTGCTGCTCGGGCCGCCTCTCAAAGGTGAGTTGAATTGAGGGAGCCCCGTGCACGTGGACGGCCCAGGGGTTGGAGGGTGTCTGGACTGAAAGCACCTGGTGGGGCAGCGGATTGAAGGGGGAGGCAGCTGGGCTGAGAGGTTGGTTTGGCACCAGCCCCAGGGGATGGCGTAGGTTTGGTGAAGACAGTAATGGGGATGGGAAGGACCAACCCTGGGCACCACAATTGGTGTGTGGGTTCCTCTCCAGCAGCTGGCCTTGGGAGGGTGGGGGGCTGCATTGATTGGAAAGGAAGGGGCGACGAGAGAGAAGCAGACCCCTTAGCAATGTCATGGCTGCCGGGCAGCATCTGGTGTGTCTATAAAGGGAGAGCAGTGGGGTTGATGCCAAGCTCCAGTTGTTAGACACGCCCCAGGCTGGATCCCCTTGGTCTTGAGAGTCGCCCCGGGCTGGGTGCCTTCGGCCATGAGCGATGTCCCAAGCCAGATGCCCTCAGTTGTCAGTGTCACCCCAGATCAGATGCCCTTTGTCCTTAGCGATGCCCCTGTGACCGACCCAGGGTACAATCTAGACTAATGAGTAGCTGTGTCACCCTTGCCCTGTAATCTAGAGTGCCCTTTACAATGCTTTCCTGCTAGCCTGAACACTGCTCACAAACAGCCTCCAGCATGCAAATCACTCCCAGCTGGGTCTGTGTTTGCTGTAGCCAGCCAGCCACACCCTGGCTCTTACCAGCCTTGGTTATACTGCAGGGTGATTCCAACTCACTCCCAGTCTCCCATTTCCCCCCAGAAATCTATGTCCTGTACTGCCCAGCCCTCTCCTGGACAATACAAGTTTATATAAAGTCTGTCATTTTATTAATAGAAATAATATACACACAGCTTATTACCCTAAATGGAGTTTCCCTGACACTTCAATTTAAACACACTGGATTGGATAAAGCAGTAAAACAAGTTTATTAACTACAAAGAGAGATTTTAAGTGAGTACAAGTAATGAGTAGGGCCATACCAAATTCACGGCCCATTTTGGTCAATTTCATGGTCATAGGATTGAAAATATTTAACTCTGAAATTTCACAGTGTTGTAATTGTAGGAGTCCCGACCCAAAAAGGAATTGTGTGTGTGCAGGGGCGGCTCTAGGCACCAGCAAAGCAAGCACGTGCTTGGGGCAGCCCATTTGCAGGGGCGGCAGGAATCCAGCCTGGGAGCTGAGAACGAACAGGGGGCCCTGGGAGCTGTAGTTCCTTGGTTAGCTCCCTGCCTATAGAGCCAGCCCTGGAGCAGGGAAAGAACTACATTTCCCAGCATTCCCTTGGCCACTACCAACAGGAAAGAGGGGGAGGGAGTGAGGTAGCTGAGACCTCACGCTGCAGCCTACTGTGACTGGAGAGCTGCACTGGGAAGGGCAGGGATACCATATTTTAACATTAAAAAATAGGACACTCCACAGGGAGGGAGGGTAGCCCCACCTTGCCACCATCCACTCCCTCCGACTGCCCCCCACAGAAACTCCAACCCATCCAACCCCCCCTGCTTCCTGTCCCCTAATCACCCCCTCCCGGGACCCCTGCCCCTAACTGCCCCTTGGGATCCCACCTCCTATCTAAGCCTTCCTTCTCCTTGTCCCCAACTGACCCCTCCTGAGACCCCCCCCCCAACTTCCCCCCTAGGACTCCACCCCCTACCTGTCCCCTGCCAAATCCCCGGGACTCCCATGCCTGTCCAACCACTGCCTATCCAACCGCTATCCCCTGACTGCCCCCCCAAACCCCTGACCCATCTATCCCCCCCTTCTCCCTGCCCCTGACAGCCCCCCGAACCTCCGCCCCATCCAACCCCCCAGCCCCTTTACCGTGC